TAATGGTGCAATACCTCCGCCTTACTTGATTTTGACAATGAAAGCATACAAAATACTTAAGAAAGGATGTCGGGTTATCTGTGTAATAGTTTGACGGATCAATTCATGAATATTGTGTTAGATGATATTCCTATTGTTAGAGAATTTCCAGATGTGTTTCTAGAGGAATTGCCAAGGGAATTAGTTGATAGGGAAATTGAGTTTACTATTGAAATCATGCCAAGTACTCAACCTATTTCAAAGACTCCGTATAGAATATCAACTGTAGAAATGAAAGAACAGTTACAAGACTTGCTTGACAAGGGTTTTATCTGACTGAGCACTTCACCTTGGAGTGTGCTAGTTTTATTTGTAAAGAAGAAAGATGGAACTTTACGCTTGTGTATTGATTACCGAGAACTAAATAAAGTAACAATAAAAAACAAGTACCTTTTACCCTGCATTAATGACTTGTTTGACCAGTTGCAGGGTTCACAAGTATTTTCAAAGATTGATTTGAGATTCGGATACCATCAGTTGAAAGTGACAGTTGAAGATGTTGAGAAAACTGCATTTCGAACAAAGTATGGACATTACAAATTTCTAGTCATGCCAATGCACCTGCAACATTTATAGACCTTATGAACTGAATTTTTAAATCCTACCTTGATGAATTTGTAATAGTATTTATTGATGATATCCTAATTTATTCAAGAAGTAGAGAAGAACACAAACAACATTTAAGAATCGTTTTACAAACACTTAGGAAGAATAAATTATATGCAAAATTGAAAAAATGTGAATTTTGGCTAGATGAAGTTGTGTTTCTAGGGCATGTTATTAATATGGATGGAATTCCAGTACACCCACAAAAGATTGAGGAGATTGTAAATTAGCCTACACCGACTAATGTGATGGAAGTCCGAAGCTTCATGGGATTAGCTGGGTATTACAAGAGGTTTGTGAAAGATTTTTCAAAAATAGCTGTGCCACATACCCAACTTACTCAGAAAGGACAACCGTTTGAATGGACTGATGAAAGGAAATCAGCATTTCAAGAACTGAAAACAAGATTGACTACAACACCAATTTTGACAATACCCTCAGGTATAGAAATTTTTTTAATTTATAGTAATGGTTCTTACAATGGTCTGGGTTGTGTTTTAATGAAGAATGGTATAGTGATAGCCTATGCGTCTCGACAACTAAAACCTTATGAAAAGAACTATTTGACTCATGACTTAGAATTGGCCATAATTGTATTTGCCTTGAAGATTTGGCGCCACTATTTGTATGGAGCAAAGTGTGAAATCTATACTGACCATAAGAGTTTGAAGTACTTTTTCACTCAGAATGAACTGAATATGCAACAAAGAAGATGGCTCGAGTTGATTAAAGACTATGATCTTCAGATTCAGTATCATTCGGTAAAGCTAACACTATAGCCGATGCTTTCAATAGAAAGTCAACGGGGAACTTGGCATGTTTACTGACTAAACAAAAAGAGATATTGCAAGACTTAAAAAAAAATCTGAGATTGAAGTAGTGTTACATGATCAGGGCGGGTTGACAGTTGCTATTTCAGCTTAATTAGCAATCATTGATGAGAATAAACAGAAACAAAAGAGAGGTTGAGTTCCTTAAAAGAATGTTTGATGAGTTTGAATCAAATCCAAAATCAGGGTTCAGTATTGAAAATGAAGTGTTGAGATTTCATAGAAGATTGTGTATTCTGAACATTTCTGATCTGAAGAAGAGAATTTTAGAAGAACCTCACAAGTCAAAATTTGTAATGCATCCGGGCAACAACAAAATGTATTGGGATTTAAGGCAAAGCTATTGGTGGCCTAGTATGAAGAAGGAAATTGTAGAATACGTGTCTAAGTGCCTTCAATGTCAGCAAGTCAAAACTGAACATCAAAATCCAGCGGGATTACTTCAACCTCTCTCCATTCTGGAATGGAAATGGGCGCACATAACTGTGGACTTCATCGTTGGTTTACTTCAGACACCTCGAGGTATGAACTCTATTTGGGTTATTGTCGATAAGTTAACTACATCAGCACATTTTTTGCCTGTAAGGACTAGTAATGATGCCTATAGATTGCCTATAATTTATATTGATGAAATTGTTTGTTTACATGGAGTATCGGTATCCATTGTTTCTGATAGAAATCTAAAATTTGTATAGATTCAAGAAAAGCCTTCAAAGAGAAATAAGAACGGAATTGAGGCTTAGTATTGCATTTCATTTGCAAACTGATGGGCAATTAGAAAGAACTATTCAGATTTTAGAGGATATGCTTCAAATGTGTGCGCTGGACTTTCAGAGGAGTTAGGAAACTTATTTGCCACTAGCGGAACTCGCATACAATAATAGTTTCCACTATAGCATTAGCATGGCACCATATGAAGCCTTGTACGAAAGGAAATGTAGATCTCCAATATAATGGACTGAAGTTAGGGACCGAGTCTTGATTGGACTTGAAATTGTGCAAATAACCACTGACAAGATTAAAGTTATTCAACAAAGGCTCAAAACAATACAAAGCCGACAAAAGAGTTATGCATATCATAGAAGAAGGGCTCTTGAGTATAAAACAAGTGACCATGTGTTCATAAGGGTAATTTTGATGAAGGGTCAATCAACGTTTGGGAAGAAAGGCAAATTATCACCTCGATACATTGGGTCGTTTCAGATTCTGGAAAACCTTGGTCCAATTGTGTATCGAGTTACTTTACCACTGGGAATGGAACAGATGCACAATGTGTTTCATGTGTCGACGTTGAGGGGCTACCTCCGAGATCCATTCCATGTTATTGATCATCACCGAATAGCCCTTGGTGAGAATGTGGAATATGAAAAGAAACTTATTCAGATTATTAACTGACTAGTGAAACAGTTGTGAAATAAAGAAATATCTATGGTAAAAGTAGAATGGAAGGAACACTATAGCATGGAAATGACTTGGAAAAAGAAGACGAAATCAGGCAAAGGTACCCCAAGTTATTTTTGACTCAAGGTAAAACAAGTTTGAAGGACCAAACTTCTTAAAGAGTGGAAGACTATGACAACCTTATCACGTATTATGTTTTTAATTTCCTTAATTGTGCATGTGCTTATGTGTTAGATGTGAATTTAAATGTTAATTATGTGAGATTAATGTGGCTTTTGACTTCATATATGTTGATCATAGAAGTATCTGTTATGATTTCTATTATAATCTAAAAATTAAAGGCCCTAATGGCGACAGAAACTAAAATTGGTTAATTTATCGAGATCAACATAATTTTTAGAGTTTAATGAGAGGTTTGATAAAAATTTGATTCAAATGAAATTAATTAGATTAAACTAATTAGAACTAACTGTAATTAGTTAATCTTAAGCCTTAATTAACACTCTAATCTAACCCTCAAGTATATATATATATATATATGTTGTGATTAAGAGCTTGAACCCCTTAATCATAATTTGAGCTCAAAATTTCCAAGACAGAGAGCTTTAGAGAGAGAGAGAGAGAACTCAATTTTAGAGAGAGAAGAGCTTGAACTTAAAGAATTTGCTAAAAGGCTTGTGAATTGCAAAGTTAAAGCTCAAGAACTTGCTAAATTGAGCTCACTTGAAAACCTTAGGTAAGTTTTTGAACCCTAATTCATGAACCTAAGTCATTTCATATATGAATTCAAGAAGATTATGTGTTTAAATGTAAGAATTAGTTATTAATTCATACATGCATGCATAATTTGATAGAGTTTCACAAGTTTGAGCATGACTTATGTCATCCGTGTTGAGTTTTGAAGCTATCTTATACATGTACTCATGATTCATAAGAGTTTGAAATTAGATTTTATGTTTTTGTACACTTTGGAAAGGAATTAGAAGTTTAGCCATGAGGCTTGAGAATTGGTCTTGAATCCATGTTTATAGAAGAGTTTTAAGTGTTTGAGAAGTTGTATACAAGCCATGTAAGAGTTCGATTTGAAAACATAAGTTTTAAATTTCAATTATGTTCTAGAATTTCTAGAATTCTGTCTCACTGCTCAAGCGAACAATCTGTTGCTCGAGCATACATTTCATGCAACTAGTATTTTTGTAGAGTATTGTAGTTGGCTCCAGCGACCAAGTCATCGTTCGAGGGACCACCTCTTTATTTTGCACCTCGGTTCGAGTGAACATTGAGCCTAAATTTGGACCATGTGGTCCGCTCGAGCGACCAATGTTGCACTCGAGCGAAGTGCTCTCACTACAAAAAATTTGACTTTTTGCGACGGCAAAACGCCATCGCAAATACTCAAAATGGTGTCTCAAAAGGTTTTTTGCAATGGCAGATGACTTTTAGCGACGGCAAGTGGGGTGTCGCAACAAAGGGCGTCGCAAAAAGGTTTTAGCGACGGCATGTTGCCGTCGCATTTTTTTTGTGACGGCAAAGTGGCCTTTTTTGATACGGAATTTTTCCGTCACCATTAATATGAAAAAAATTTGAGATTTTTTGATACGACACTATGTTGTTGTCGCTAAAGGTGTTATTTGAGACGGCAAAAATGCCGTCACTAAAGAATTTTTATTGCGATGGGGATACCTACCGTTGCTAAAAAAATATTTGAGACAACACGATATGCCATCGCTAAAAGAATATTTGCGATGGCAAATAGTACCGTTGCAAAAGGCTTTTGTCTCAACTTTGCCAATATCATTTGCGACGGCAGTGTGGTGCCGTCTCAAAAAAAAAAATAAAAAAATAAAATAAAATTATTAAAAAAATGAAAATTACCTGTATTATTAAATGAAAAATAATTAAAAAAGAAGCTAATAATTACATAATAATATAAAAATTCCAGCATAAAAATAACAATTCATCCATAATAAAAATTTTCTTGCATTCATTCATTACAACACATAAGCAAAATTATCCCACTACATAATATTGCATAATACATACACAATGTTTAAATACATAATGTTGTTCACAATTCAAAATAACGTAAATAAAAAACAAAAGTTTCCCTCATGATTCTTCTGTGGGTAACAAAAACAAAAGTAAATCGCAATCTTCACACGCCTGTATTCCACAAGAAGCAAACTGCTACTTGGAAAATATTTGAAAACAAAAAATAAAAATAATTAATGACAATATAATTATGTGTTAATATTTTAATTACAAAAAAACGTAAAAAAATTAACTACTATATAATTACAAAGATAATTAAGTAAATAATTTTGGCTAGACAGAAATCCGGCTCTAACTCCCAAACCGGAAACCCGATTGGAGTCCCGTCTTCTCCCACAAGTCTCTCGTGCCTAGGCGGTCGTGTGTGCCAAGTTTCGTGCTAAACTGACGTCGTTTGGTGATTTTAGGGCATCAACACCTCCAATTCAAGTTTCTTAAGAAACTAGTTTGCTTATAGTGAAATCCGGCTCTAACTCCCAGACCGGGAACCCGATTGGAGTCCCGTCTTCTCCTACAAGTCTCTCATGCCTAGACGGTCGTGTGTACCAAGTTTCGTGTTAATCCGACGCCGTTTGGAGATTTTGGGGCGTCAACACCTCCAATTCAAATTTCTTAATGAACTAGTTTGCCTAGAGTGAAATCCAACTCTAGCTCTCAAACCGGGAACCCGATTGGAGTCCAGTCTTCTCCCACAAGTCTCTCATGCCTAGACAGTCGTGTGTGCCAAGTTTTGTGCTAAACTGACGCTGTTTGGTGATTTTGGGGTGTCAACACCTCGAATTCAAGTTTCTTAAGGAACTAGTTTGCCTAGAGTGAAATCCGGCTCTAACTCCCAGACCGAGAACCCGATTGGAGTCCCGTCTTCTCCCACAAGTCTCTTGTGCCTAGGCAGTCGTGTGTGTCAAGTTTTGTGCTAAACCAACGCCGTTTGGTGATTTTAGGACATCAACACCTCGAATTCAAGTTTCTTAAAGAACTAGTTTGCCTAGAGTGAAATCTGGCTCTAACTCCTAAACCGGGAACCCGATTGGAGTCTCGTCTTCTCCTACAAGTCTCTCGTGCCTAGGCGGTCGTGTGTGCCAAGTTTCGTGCTAAACTGACGTCGTTTGGTGATTTTAGGGCATCAACACCTCCAATTCAAGTTTCTTAAGAAACTAGTTTGCTTATAGTGAAATCCGGCTCTAACTCCCAGACCGGGAACCCGATTGGAGTCCCGTCTTCTCCTACAAGTCTCTCATGCCTAGACGGTCGTGTGTGCCAAGTTTCGTGCTAAACCGACGCCGTTTGGTGATTTTGGAGCGTCAACACCTCGAATTCAAGTTTCTTAAGGAACTAGTTTGCCTAGAGTGATATCCAACTCTGACTCCCAAACCAAGAACCCAATTGGAGTCCCGTCTTCTCCTACAAGTCTCTCGTGCCTAGGCGGTCGTGTGTGCCAAATTTCGTGCTAAACCGACGTCGTTTGGTGATTTTGGGGCGTCAACACCTCGAGTTCAAGTTTCTTAAGAAACTAGTTTGCCTAAGGTAAATTTTTTTTAGTGTTTTATCATCTTGAACTAAATGCGGCTGTTTTAAAGTAAAATCAAATTTTAACAATTGTGCCCTATAACTGAACCAATAAATGAAAAGACAAGTTCCAAAAATATTGAACAAAAAAAGTTTCTTGATTGCAATTATTCATGATGTTCTAAGAAGATGAATTGATTGACACAAACTAGTCATCTCTGTGTCCATCTTTCTCCCTTAACACAAACTATGTTCTTATTTCTATGCCTTTGTCATCTCTGTACATCTCATTTCTATGTCTTTGTCATTTCTTCTATACACACACACACACACACATATATATATATATATAACTTACCCCCCAGTGTATTTCGTTCTGATTTATCAGATTAGCTGCATCCTGGCCACTCCCAAACAAGTGTAATACCTTCATCATCAGAAATTAAGCTTGGTTGTCCAGGAGAAACTGCAAAGAGGTATTATTAGCTCAATGAAAAAGAAAAAAATTAACTAAAACACCAAGATACAGTAGAGAAAAATATTATCATGATGAAAAACATGCAATTAACGAGTAGGGAGCTGTACCTTGAAAGTTAATATGCTCATTAATAACCCCAAGCATTGTAATGGATTGTGTCTTGTGCATGTCAATATTTAAGTTGAAGTGAGGCGAAAGATAGATGAATCTCATATTTCAACTAAAACTAGTCTGATGTGGTAAAGACCTATGGACTAAAATCAAACTTAAAATTTGAAACCCATGAACAAACATGCATCATCACCATTCAATTCATCTGAAGCTGAATGAAAATTATGATTTGATGGCACGTGTACAAGCAATAGAATCCAATATTTGCTATCTAAATTCATTATAATATTTTCCAAACGATATTTATCACAATAATACCAGGAACGGAACATGGTATGCTACATGTTCTAAAATATATTATGATAAATATAGATAACACTATAATTTATTCAGATTCTTTCAAGTGTAAGAGCAAATTTTTGCGAACAATTACACATTCAATGAAACATTCTATCATCTTCAAATTAATCATATAAAATCACATTCCCAAAAGATTCCCCATTTTACATATAAAGACACAATTCTAGATACCCCTCTGTTACATTTTGTTTTTTTTCCAAAACTCCACTTCTCTAGATTTTAATTCATTATATTTGAAATATTTTTCTTGCCAAACTAAAAATCATAACAAAGTGAAAGCACTAATTTGAAACAAACACAAATGTAAAAATTGAATGCATACCTATCTATACGGGTTAATATATTCTCAGATGACATGATCACCACTGGTATTTCTCTCAAAGTCGATGACTCATGTTTAATAAAAGTTAACAATTTTAGCATTTTCTAACAATTTGGCAAAATTAAATCATCTTCAATAGAACCATGCGTTGTTTGGTTGCCTAGATAACTCAGGAAAATAAATAAATCCAAAAGCCCTAACTCAACCTAAGACAGCTACTATTTAGTTAATTAATACTACTATTAAATAATAGAATAAATAGGATTGTCTGTGTGGTTTTAGAAATTACAATATACTTCAAGTTTCTAATTGCATAACGAATTACCTCTTTTATCAATTACAATTCATATAATTTATTGTTGAATCAGAAGGTAGTGAAGATATTTATTTTTTTTTAGTTCTGTACAATATAAAATTCCAACCGAGGATATTTATAATTTTTCAAAATCACAGAACAATCCATATTTTAAACAAAAATGTATTTGTAATTTGCGCTAACTAGTAACACATGTTTCATCATTTCATTTTCTTCATAGAGTTTTCTCGTAAACCAAACAGAACAATCAATCTTACTAAAATCAACCCTCATAACTAACCTTGATCTTCTTAAGCAGCTCATATCCTGTCATCCCAGGCATTGAATAATCCGTCATTATTAAATTCACCTTCAAATCCTGAAATCAAGCAATGAAAAACACCATAAATCACCATAACATCAAAATTAACTCCATAATGTTTGGCTGTAGAGAAAATCGAAATTTCAATTTCTTACATCGAATCCAACGGAGCTCTTCTCTCCATCCAAACCAAGATATTGCAAAGCTCTCCGCCCACTCTTTATAGCCACAACTGAAAATTCCAAATCCAATCGGCTTCAGCACCAAAATCAAAACCAAACAAACAAAAAAATGGCTAAAACCTAATCAGTCGATCATAGTACCTCTACAACAAGAGATCTTCAGCAACTTCTCGATCACCTTCCGGTCGACGTGGTTGTCATCAACAGCGAGAACACGAAGCTCTTGTGAACCCGATGACAGACAATCCATTTTCAATTCTCATTCTCTGTATGTATCTCTGTGCTTCTGTCTTTCTCGATCTATAAATACAGAAAGAAATAAATACATATATCTATATATAGATGATACAGAAAGAAAGTTAATATTCGAGATGCTGAGGTGGTGGAAGAGGAGATTGATAATGGCGAGGGAAGGGAATAGGACAAGAAAGACGTCAAAGAGGAGGGTTTGCTGCTCGCAGTCGTCTGCCGCTCTCCGTCGTCGGCCGCCGCTCGCCGTCGATCGATCGAAAGAGAGGGGTAAGAAGAGATTAGGGATTTTTGGTTTTGGCTAGGGGGGCGGCAAGAAAAGAAAAAAGGAATGGGGAAAAAAAAAGGAGAGGAAATAGATTGGGAATGAAAAAATAAAAAAAATCAAAAAATATATATATTTTTTTGGGGTCACAAATAAAATTTAAACAACAAAATAACGACGTTTAACTCTTCTCTTCTTCTTTTTTTGCGATAGGGCTGCCGTCGCCAAAAAAAATTATTTTTGTTAAAATAAATTTTGTTTTGTAGTTAATGAATTTAAAAAAAAAAAATCATTTTTTTTTAGTTATTGAGATTGAAAATTTATTTGTTTCATTTTTTATTTTAATGAAAAAAATATTATTATTATTTTTTATTTACCAACGCAATGATAATTTCGTCGGCAAAAACTTTTACCGACTCACTTTTGCCTACGGGTTGCCAACGTAGCTTCATGCGTCGGTAAAACTCTTTGCCAACGAATTTTTCCTTTTAGCAACATATTTTGTTGCGTTGCGAAAAATGCAATTTCTTGTAGTGAGAGAGAGCGGCAGTAGTGGTGAATGTGGTGGATAAGAGATGATGGTGGTGGTGATGTCGAAGGAGATTAGTGGTGAAGTTGTGGTAGTGGTAGAGTAAATGGAGTGGTAGGGGTGAATGAGAGGTAATGGTAGTAGTAGTGGCAGTAGTGGTAGTGGTGGTAGTGGAGTGGTGGCGATGGTAGTAGTAATGGTAGTCGTAGAGGTGAAGTGGCGACAGTGGTAGTAGTGGTGGTAGTGGAATGGCGTTTGCAGTAGTGGTGAAGGTGGTAGAGGAGATGGTGGTGAGAGAGAAAGATGAGTGAAAAACAGATAAAGGAGAGAGAGAGAGAGAGAGAGAGAGACAGAGACAGAGAGACAGAGTGATGAGCGAGAGAGAGAGAGACAAAGTGGTCGCTAAAAGTACATTTTCTTATAGTGGATCGATAAATCGAGAGGGAGCTCAGTAAATAAAGAAGACGAGAGGGAGAGAGTGAGCAACGCGAACACAGTGGGAGAGAGAGAGAGAGAGAGAGAGAGAGAAAAAGAGAAGAGAGAGAAAGAGACAAAAAGAGAAAGAAATAGAGAGTGAGAGATAGAAAAAGACACAAGGAGAGAAGAGAGATGAACGAGAGAGACAGATAGAGAGATAGAGAGAAGAGAGATGAACGAGAGAGACATAGAGAGAGATATAGAGAAGAGAGATGAATGAGAGAGACATAAAGAGAAGAGAGATGAACAAGAGAGACTAAGAGAGAGATAGAGAGAAGAGAGATAAGCGAGAGAGATAGAGAGAAGAGAGATAAGCGAAAGAGACAGAGAGAGAAAAGATAGATGAGCGAGAGACATACAGAGAAAGAGGGAGAAAGACAGATAGATAGATAAACAGAGAGAGAAGAGTGATGAGTGAAAGAGAGGAAGATGAAAAAATAGGTGAAAAGATATAGAGAGAGAGAGAGAGAGAGAGAGAGAAAGAGCAAAAATAGATAAACGAGAGAGAGACAGAGAGAGATGAATGAGAGAGCGAAAGAGATAAAGAGAAGAGAAGAGAGATGGAAGAAGACACAGAGAGAAAAAGAGAAAGGGACAGACAAACAGACAGAGAAGAGTGATGAGTGAGAGAGAGAAAGAGAAGAGAGACAGAGACAGACACAGAGAGAAAGAGAGAGACAGACAGACAAACAGACAGAGAAGAGTGATGAGTGAGTGAGAGAGAGAGAAGAGAGACAGAGACACATAGAGAAAGAGAGCTCGAAACAGACAGACAGAGAAGAATGATGAGTGATGAGTGAGAGAGAGAAAGATAAGAGAGACAGAGACAGAGAGATAGGAAGATGAAAAAATTGGTGAAAAGAGAAATGTTCAAAAAAGTAAGACAGCGTCGTTTTTTTTTTTGTGACAGAAAAATACCATTGCATTTATTTAAACCATTTTGTGACTATATATATATGAAGTTGTCTCAATGCCATAATATATATATATATATATATTACTCTTTTTTTTTGCAACGGTACCAATTACAGCCACAAAAAACTCTTTTTTTTTTTTTTTGTAACTGCAGCTGACAAAACTCTATTTTTTTGCGATAGCAATCTCTGCCGTCGCAAATACTCTATTTTTTTTTTGCGACAGCAATTTCTGCCGTCACAAATACTCTCATTTTTCGCGACAACATTTTATGCTGTCGCAAATACTCTATTTTTTGTGACGACAAGTTGTACCGTCTCAAAAAGTCACATTTTTTTGCGACGGCAAGTGGTGTCGTCTCAAAAAGTCACATTTTTTTGCGACGACAAGTCGTGCCATTTCAAAGTCACATTTTTTGCGACGGCAAGTCGTGCCGTCTCAAAAAGTCATATTTTTTTGCGACGGCAAGTCATGTCGTCGCAGAAAGTCATTTTTTGTGACGGCAAATGTGCCGTCGCAAAAAGTTCGGTCTTTTAAGCCCACTTTTCTTGTAGTGTCTGTTTCAGCATATTTTAAAAGGACATTTTCTAATCAAATGTGCATCCCCATTCCCTTTTGGGTATTCTTAGGCATGAATTGAACATCCTAAATGAATTAAAAAGTTAGAAAGAATCCTAAGAGAATGGAATAAATTAGAGAACGATTCGAATAAGCAATATGACTCAATGTGTGTATGTGTTTATGAATTATGTAAGATCATTCGCAAGGACAAGTCAACAACCAAGTCATTATGAGTAATACCTTAGTAAAGATATTTTCCTAATTTCTCTATTTTCTATATATCTAACTATGATATGTTTTCCAAACTTATGATTTTGCAAATGTGAATGAGTTTTTATCTATTCGATCAATATGATATCTGTAAATGTAATTGATATGACACGAATGTGTAAGATGAACCCAAGGTCATTTTGTATATTTGAAATGGACCCAAGGTCGTTCTGTATAACTGAATTAGACCTAAGGTCGTTTCGTATATCTGGCAAGATGGACCTAAGGTCGTTCTAAATATCTAATAAGTCTAATTATCTGTTATGAGTTGACCGAATGGTCATTATATAGTTGTAAATGATTGGACCCAAGATCGTTCCTTTAAGATATGATTTTCATTACGAATTGTTTATGATATGGAATGTCCTGCCCCAGCCTTAGTGAACCTGTGAAGGAGACCAAGTATTTGTGAAGTCTGTCATGAACACCTCTCTAGCGAGGCTTTTGTTTATTTTGTCTTTTAAATTTTTGTCTTCTTTTATTAGTCATGTTTGACTTTGAATATGTATATAAGTTTTGGTTTTTGTATGACAAAGATGTATGAAAGATCTTCGACATATAGAATCTTATTATGTATGTACGATTGTAAGTTATTAATATATAAGTTTTTGTTCATGCCATTTATGCACAGCTCATTGGACAAAATTTTATGATTCTACTTTTGCTTCTGGCCCAATATAATTAAATATAATTAGATTTTTGTTTGAGGTTGTGGATAATCTCATGATTACTGGCCGGTTATGATCCAAACCTCTAGGGGCGGGTTCGAGTCATGACACTTTCTCATCTTGCCCTAGAGCTGAAAACCTCTCGGGTTACTCCATATAAATTTCTTCATCCAAATCTCTATTTAAAAAAGTTGTCTTTGCATTCATCTGATGCATCTCTAGACCATGCAAAGGTCCTCTTTGGTGTAACTGTTAAGACAGATTATAGATTATAGCTTAACGGATTATAGATTATGACTTTAATCAGAAGCTGTTAGTCTGTTTAGTGTAACTGTTGGATTATAGATTTAAGTTGCTGAGTAGTGTTTGTTAAACAAGCTGTGAAGTAGCTTTTTCAATTAACTTTTATTTTTTATTATTCACTATTTGTCTACATTTCTCATAAAAAATAATAATAATATTCTATAGTCTGTTTGGGTCTTTTTCTATTTTAAAAAAAAATAAAAAATAAAAAAATCTAAGAGTATAACCGTGAATTAACATGTCCATAGTAGAAGCTGATAATCAGAAGCAATGGGTGAGCAGCTTTTCAGAATCAGTTTTTTTGACTTAAAATAAGTTATTAGAATCAGAAGCTGTTTGAAATAAGTTTAACCAAATAGTCCAAAATAACTTTTTAAAAGTCAGAAGCCATAAGTTGGCTCAAAAAAGCCCCACCAAACACCCCCAAAAGCTGCTTTCGCAATCATCATGCGAATGGATGTTATCCTTATCATAGGTGAATATGTATCAAAATAATCCAGGCCTTCTCGCTTCCTATATCCTTTGATAACTAGTCTAGCTTTATACTTATCAATTAGACCAACAATTTTTATTTTTCTTCTAAAGATCCACTTACTCACCAAAGTCTTACTCCCTGGGGGTAAAAATCAACCAACTCCTAGGTGTGGTTTTGTAAGATGGAGTCAATTTCACTTTTAATAGCTTCTTTCCATAAAGGACTTTCTGGTGCAGTCACAGCTTTGTGGAAAGTCAGAGGATATATCTCCAACATATAAGTCAAGAAGTCTTGACCGAAGGACTTGGAAGTCCTAACCCTTTTACTACTTCTTGGTTCACCTACCTCCCCAATTTCACTAGCAACATCTTCAAGTTTCTTCATGGAATTTTGATCCTCTTATTGGGTTCAGCAAGGAAATACATTTTCAAAGAAGGACATAGTCTTTGACTCCATGATGGTATTCTCGTGTATATCTAAAATATCAAATTTGTGCACAAGAAATTTGTTAGGTTTTATTCTTGGCAACCCGGTTTGGCAAAACTCCTTTCAGTTGTATTTGTTTACGCACCTTTTATTTCAATGAGGCTATGAGTTTATTAGATGCGAATCCAACCCGAATCGTGCCTTTGTCAATTTCATGGATCAAAACCGATGTTGTAACAGGATCTAGTTTTCCAGATTTTCTAATTTTGGTCTCCCCACTCAAGCGGGGAAAGTGACGCTCGAGTGGGGATTGCAAGCTCACAACATCTCTGTTTCGCCTGAAAAAGTGCTGAATGGTGTGATTCGACGCTCAAGCGTGAAACTTCCACTCGAGCGTGATGCCTATATGAATCACACAATTTTGAAGCCTCCACTCGAGCGG